TGACACAGGCTCTCTTCGTGTCGTCGACACTTCCCCAACAGCTCCTCGTACTTCTCCAGCAGGGCGTGGTACTGCTCATCCACCTCTCTTAGGATGGACATCCCTCTTTTCCTCACGCTATTGGCGTGCAGAGCGTAGCTGCCTCTCCTTCTGCCGGACGCATCCCGGGCCACGATGGCATTGAGCGCCGTGTCGCTGCAGCTTTTCCTCACAGGACTGGAATCGGGTAACGCCTCACCTCCAACACCTCCTCCACCCGCGGTCTCCTCCCTGACGCCTCCTCCCGTCTCCCCGACCTCCACTTCCAAAAAGGTGTCGGTCTCCGGGGTGATACTGAGGACAGTCTGGGTAAGAGCCACGCCATCATCCTCACTGCTCAGAAGGAAAGTTCGAGCTCGTCGCAGCTGCTGCAGCTCCTGCAGCTCCACCTCCAGCTCCCGCACTCTCGCCTGGCAGCTCTCAGCATCCTGTAAGCACAACCAGTTAGTTTTATTTCAAATAAAATTCATTACCCACACTCCAAATAAAGACATAAATAGCACATCATAGCAAAATTCTCCTCCACTTAATTGTCTTTAATTTATAATCAACAAATCATCATTTTTGAAGTTACAAAGTAGTTTATTAAACTGCACACAGATCAGATTTAAAGAACATTTTACCCCTTTGCATAATCAATGACTATTTAGTCTGACAGATGCAGAAACCTTAGGCTGAAGTGGCTGGAAAAAAAGAAGCCAATGTGCAGAAACCTGCAGTTCTGCTAATGGCCACTTGAGGCCGCTCAAGTGAGCATGTACACGGACTTCTACCTTAAAAAGACAAACTTTCTTGCAGAAAAAATAAACATGCTTACCACTTGGTTATTTATTGATTGATTGATTGATTGGTAATTTATTTCAACGTGTGAACAATATACAAGTACATTTAGGAAAAAAATAAGAAAAAAATACTATACAAATTACATACAAAAAAACCCATTCTGATTAATTTACATGTTGAAAGGGAGTGGGAAGAAGTAAACACTTATTTAATCCCACCCCTTTAAAAAAAAAGGCTGAGTGGCATCTTATTAATACTCTATTTATGAGCACTAATTATGTGGTATCAGCATCTGTGACGTACCTCAACAACATATACAGCTAGCTCACCAAGCCTCGCTGTTCACATGTGGTCACACTTTTGACCACATTTGAATAGAATATGATTATGATTAAGGCCATAATTCTAAATTTGAAATTAGTTTGAATATTCAAAACGATACTCCATTAGTCAGTCGTTTTCATTAGGGGTGTTACATAATTAAATGTCATAACCAATGAAATCAAATGGACTCTGACAAATTAGCACTGTCCCTGCTAGCAGTTAAAAAAACTCAACTTGCTGATATCATCTTTTCTGCTTGTATGTTTTCCTGTATCTTAACAGCCAAACACGCTTAGTGCATTATTTTTGCACCCCACCTGCACTCGTGTCTGCAGCCGGGAGAACTCCGATATCAGGAGGTTGCACTCCCTCTCCACCCCTTCCCTGCGACTCCTCTCGGCCCGGACAGCAGCTCTCAGAGCCGACACCGCCTCCCTCAGGTGCTGGTTCTCTTCTTCAAATGGCTGACGTTTGGCTTCCATAGTAAAACTTTCAGCCCTGCCCACTACAAACTCATCCTCATACCTGACAAAATAACAGATGAGAATATTTAGCCGTTTGATGCTGGCATGCAGTGTTTAAGTGTGACTTTAAATAACTACTTTCCTCTTCTTTCTCTTTCTATGGAAGACAAAACAGGTACCTGGGTGCTGTGCAAAGCTCCCTCAGGCAAGGGAATGAGTGGATGGTCTTGCGTCGCTCTCTCTTCTCCCTCCTGACCCGCAGTTGCTCCATGGAGCGAAGTTGCTCCACCTGCCCTGACAGAGACTCCACCTGGTTCTGCAAAGTCTCAATAGTCCCCGTTAACCTG